GAAATCTACACCTCCAGTTATAACTTTCATTAAAGAAGTATCTTAATTGCTGCATTTACTACAGTTTTCCTTGAGTTGCCCCTAATCAAATGCTGATCTGCTTTCCCTGATACTCTGCACCAGTGATAATTAACACTGTTCTGCTAACTACTTGCTACAGGAAGGTCATTAGCATTCTTGCTGTTTAACTAGCTCATTAGATCTAGTGTATCAGCCTACTCACATAAGAAAGTTGGGGAAAGGAGAAAAGTGAAAGGTGACAAGGGATAGGCTTAGTCTTAAAATCTTTCCAGGTAATACCAGGGGTGGCACAAACCCTTTGAAAACAGAACAGCTCAGATTTGCTTACAGTTAATTACAAGGTCACTCACGCTCAGACCTCTCTTTTGAAAGGAGACCATTCAAAGAGAAGATGCCTGTTGGGACACTTGCGATCTCTGCTGCCAGGTGAACCAGCCATGCCCGGGCACCGCAAACCGACACGGCGTCCAGTCGCCGGGTCTGCCAAGAGGAGGCCGTCAGAGACCCAGCAATTTGGGTAATGATGCTATTTGCATAATAGAGATGGACAGTTGGGGAGGGCTTTTGCATGACCCTCAGCACACAGATGAGCGATCGGGGTCCTCCCTTTCACCGAGCCTGGTTGCCAGACCGTGGCAATGCTGTCCTGAGGCTGCTTGGGCAGAGCGGCTGGATGTTGTGTCCCTCAGGGAAAACTGAAGAAGCAGCAGCCAAGGAGGTCAGGGCAGGTGGGAACCATCACCAGTGGAGTATAGGCAGTAGCTTTTAGCCCATCAAAGGGTGCTGGTGGAGGACAGCTGATCTCTGGCACTTTAAAACACCATCCTCACACATTGGTTTTGCCAGGTGACACGCAGATACAGACGGGTTTCAATCCCTAGACCTGATGGATGGTTCCAGAGAAGAGGTGAGAAAGAATTTACTAAAGGAGGAAGCTAACAGGAGAGCCAACGGCACCAGAGCAGCAAGGACAGCGTGTGCGTTTCCCTGGCACACGTAGAGAGAGCCAAGCCTGCAGCCAGTGCCCGTTTCTCATCACAGCCAGGGCTAGAAGGAAGGCAAGGATGGAAGAGGAAAGAACTGCTGTGCTCAGAGAGGAAGCAAATGACAGACTTGGAGGAAGGAAAGAAAAAGTACCAAGGCACAGCCTCCAAAGGAAAAATAAAAAATCACCGCCTGTACTCGGTCTTCCTGAAGCAGAAGTACGTCAGCGAGTGGAGGGAGATGGCTGTTCGTGTGAAGGAATAACGTCAACCTGAGTAGGGAGTTCATGCACACGCGTGCACAGATGAACACAGAAGCGCAGACTCACTGACACTTCTTACAATTATTTAATTTTAAAGGGCAACGAAGATAGAACCAGAATTAGTAACATGAAGAGCTGGAGCTGTGATGCAGCCTGAGAAGAGTTAACTGTATTTCACCTCCTGCTGCTACCGACCTCCACTCAGCTCTTCTGGGTCTGAAACGCGGTCTGGGTATGAGGGCACAGGCAGAGCAGTCAGAAGACCTTCACCTGACACTCAACGTGAGTGGTGGGATTTGGGGTACTGCTCTTAACTGTTCGGTGCTTCAGCAACCGCGTCTGCATGGTGGGACCTTCCAAAGACGTAAAAGTGCAAGAGATACTTGGGTGTAATGTGCTGAACAGGTGAAATTTCTCACTGACTACCTCAAGAATAAAGCATGGAGTTATACTCCAAGTTGTTAAACAGGAATTATTGAAACTCTGCAGGTTATCAGAAAGGTCCTGAAAAAGTTACAGTTATCTGGGAATAAAACCTGTCTCATCTAATGAAATCCTGCAGCAATGCCTATTCTTATTTGTGAATGAATAGGCAGCACTGATTTCCAGTAATTGATCTCAGTGCTTGGCAGGTAGTAAAACCTTACGCAAATTACAGCTGCCACCCTAAAACTGCATTTGCATAACTTCTTTGTAAGTCAATCTTAAGCCTTTTTACCATAATAAAAGCTATCAATATTTGAAGAGACATGAAAAATAACCATACACACATAGTAGCATAGAATCATTTGGGCTGGAAGGGACCTTCAGAGGTCATCTTCCTTCCACTTGGCTGTTGAACACTAACACATATTTGGCGCTTTGGGTGACTGCAAGGAACTGCATTGCAATATTCAGAACTGGGGGAGATTACAGAAAAATCTGAGTCTGACCTTCAACTCTTACGGCACACCACACAGCAAGGGAGTAATGGCACACGTGAGGCTGCAGCTGTGAAGTACCTTCTACGTTCCACGTGAGGATTATAAGATCAATACATTTATTGGTATCCAGCAAAGAGACAACTGCCTGCAACAGCTTAGTCCTGGCAAGGACATGGGTATCTGATTCTTGAAGAGCACTGCTAGAGAGAATCTCACTATGAACTCACCAAAACTATGTAAGACTCCAGCCATGTTTGATCAAAACACTGCTCATTTAGTGAGGGAGCTTCAGGCGGATTTTGTAAGCAGTCAGAAGATAATGGCAGATCTTCAGGAGCTCCGATGAACCCTGAGTGGTCAGGAGGCTGAGTTTCACTGATTTGGAGCGTGTCTGTCCCTGCAGTTCATTTGATGTATCCTGCCTTCTGCCCCTCTCTTTCAAGACCTACACTCTGCTCTTGGTCTGCTTCACGGTAACTCTGGAGTTAACAGCAGTGTGAATTGATGTCCTCAGGCTGGGGAATCCCAGAAGGGCTATGGGAATGGGGTTCCCAAATTTCCCTTAAAGCCAACAGAACTAGATTGCTTCGCTACCATGGACTGCCTTAAAAATCCTGGTCATAATCCAAGCCACTTCTGTAACCTGCCCAAGCGGGATTTCAATCCTGCATGAAGGTCTCCATCCTACAACGCAGTGGGACAATTCCAATGACAAACACCTGCAGTTTTTAGCAATCAAATTGATTGCTTGTCTTAGTTCTGGCGGAGGAGTTGGCTGTTTGTCCTTTCACTTTAAATACTATTTGTTCTTCTGCGTTATGTGGAAGCTGCAGTTGACCTTTCAGTCACTGTAGCACAGGGAGCATGAGTCAGCCAAGGCAGACCAGAGGCTACAGAAATGGATGCTGGTGTCTCCCATGACACGAGTGCTTCGCTCCCGCTCTCCTGCCACAGAGCCTTGTACTTGAGTAGTTTCCTCCCAAACGAGAACTGCCCAATGAGTACAGCATTCGAAAAGAGTAATTCAAAATCATAATTAATATTTTCTCAGTCTAAAGAAAGCCTAAGGCAGCTATTAAATTGGGGTTAAGCATATTTCAGGCAGGCATCCTTAAGTAACTCACAATTTGCTTGATCTCTGAATACACCAGAAGGGCAAGGCACATTATTTTCTACAATCAAAGTCCTATTTTTTTTTTTTCTAAATGTGTCACACTAAAGAGCCCTAGGCAACTTTCAAGATTAATTGCAATCATTCAGGGTCCTCGCTGTTCCTCCCGGACATCCCTCTTATGTAAGAAAAAGGATGAAGATGCAGCGCAGTCACCTAAGACAGCCTCGCCTGCATCTCAGACCTTGCCTTCAAAGCAGGCTGCCCTGCTTATTTCATTCTCCTACTTGACATTCCCCGTGCCGCCTGCCCTGCACAAAGCAGTCTCTTCCAGTGATTCCTTTGTTCTTGCCACTTTCAAATAATTTCTAAAATAAGATCATTTCTCCCTGGGTGCCCAGGACCATTGAAGTAAATAAAGAGTAAGCCAAATTGTACATATTTGTCCTCTTGAGACACTTCTCGTTTCTTTGGTCTGTTCAGGCTTATCTCTACCTGTCCCTTCATGTATGCTTCAGAGGGCTACAGAGCAACTATATCATTCTTGGGAGCTGCCATTCAAGAGCAAATATTTATGTACATTTAAATATATATACACACAAAATTAAATATATATAAATATGTATAGATACACACACCAGTGCCTATGGGATGAATAGCTGAGAAATGAGAGTTTGGGTTTTTTTTTTTTTAAAAAAAGGTCCACAGCACCCAGCAGCTGTGTCACACAGCAGTGCTGAGCTGGAAGAGCACAATAAAGTTCTGTCTCTCAGGTGATGGGACTGGTGAAGATCCCAGTTACATCACTGGAAAACTGTAGCACCTTCAACACAACGTGAGCAGTGCCCATTCAGGGCTTTACATGGAAGCTACTGTATTTTATAAATGATGACCTCTGTTCTCTGAAACTCTAGGCATCAAACTCCACAGAAGAGTGCAAAGGAAAGAAATTACCCCAGTATATCCAGATGCCTTTTCCTCATTAAATTTCCCAGGCCTTATATTTTGAACTGTGAATGTTCTCTGATTGCCAGCTTTTGGAGCAGGGTTTTTTGTTTTGCTCTGCACTAGGATAACGGTGGCATAATAAGGGAGATCTCTAGTCAGACCAAGGTCAACAATTGCAGCAGTAACAGAAAGGAATACTACTAATAAAAACCCAAGGGATACACACCAGAAAAGAATACTAATAAAACCCCTAAAACATACACACCCATCCTGCCATGCATTTTACACCATCATTTATTACCACACAAAACAGGTTCAAAATAGCAGGTCAGAACAGCGGCACGTTGCTACCCATAGATAGATACTTGGTTTATGAGACCACATTAACAGTTAAAGACACATATACAACTCTGTTCCAATCTAATTTCTAATGGACCCATGTCCACATCACAGAAGCAACCGCTCTCCCTTTACAGAGCTGTCTATAAGCTTTACAAATGCCCTAGGCCAAAAAGATTTAGAAGTTCACTTCTCATGCCCAAGTGGTCCTTCCAGGTTTGAATTGTAGCCCACCGATAACATAAGCAAGTGAAAAAGTTGCATTGCACTGCACTGCACTGCTTCCCATTCTGCTGAGAAACAGAGGCCTGCCTTCCCTACCCTGGTTTAACTTGGCATTTTAGATAAGCAGTTAGTAAACAAAAACAAACATGGGCACGCAACCCTGCCAAAACCTGCTGTGATCACTTACAAATCCAATCAGATAAGGACTGCCAGCATCTCCCAGGAGGTGTGAAGTGAAACTCTGCAAGGCCACTGCGGTTGCACGGCGTGTTGGAATGACCACATACTGCAAAAAGAAGGGAAAAGGAAAAAAAAAAAAAGAAATATGTAAGGAAACTGAAGTTAAGAACCTGTCCAGCTGTCTTGTATTACTCAGTTTATACCCAGGTCAGGACAAAGTAAAGAAGTTCTCCCAGATGCCGGTGGCAGACATAGCCACTGTCCAGTCCACGGGAGGCTCGAGCAACTGGGGAGCTCAGGTTCCCCTCCTGGCTTTCCAGTACTCCTGATGGCAAGTGTTGAGGGAAGGAAGCTCTGTCCGGTCTGCACTCCTCTCAGCAGCACTAAATGCATGAGTTTGCCTAACAACTTTGCCCACGCGACACTTTGCTATTGCTCCTCAGCCAAAATTTTGCTTGGCTGACAGGGAGAGCAAAGTTCGAGGTTGCCTGCAGCACATAACTTGCTCAGCACCCCCAGCTTTCCAAACGAGGACTTTGCTGTAACCCGGGATACTGTGTTTTTTCCATAATAAAGATATCATTTTGTTTCCCAAACCATAAGCAATTCACATCAGTACGAAAGGTCACACATCCTCCCCTCCCACTCCATCTCTAGCCACTTCACATTTTTCTCAAAAATTTGCAATTTCACTTGTAAAAAGTGACAAAGACACATTAGGAAAATTTTCCACAGCCAAGATGTTGTAGTTTGGTCGCCGCTCCTCTCATAGGACATAACACCCTTGGCCAGGTCGTACAGAGTCAGTCTGACTACACGGGATCAGTGGAAAACACAAATCACTTCCCCACTAAGGGACCAGAGCTCACAGAGAACAGAGCCCTAACAATGGAAGGGGATAAAAGATTAAAACCAAAAAAAAAAAACCCCAGCAAACCCTCTTCCTGTAGAATGACCTTAATTTTATAAAATATATTTAGGAGCAGAAAAAAAGTAATTGTCTCCTGCATAAAACTTGTGAAAGAAGCTGGCTAAGAACGTCTGCATCAAGTCCACATATCCCAGTTTATAAATTGATCCTGTCTTGATTTAAAGGCTGTAAGTGATGAAGAATTCAATAGGTCTCTCAATCCAAGTGAGCTGTTTCCACTTCTAAGCATTGAATCTTGTTCTGCCTTTCTCTGTTGCTCTGAAGAGCTCTCTGCCTTACCAGAAATGACTCTCTTGTTGAGCTATTTGTAGACCATGATCCCTTTTTACTTGTCTACCTTCTCTCTGCTGGGTTGCCTTTAGTCTTTCCTTAGAAGGCATGCCTTCCCAGACTTCAACTCATTCTTGCAATCCTTTCCTGAAGTCATTTATTAATTACATGTGACATTTCAGGACTGCCATATCCCCAGCTAGAGATACACAGAGAAGAATTCACCTCAGCTGACCGAGGTGGGGAGAACTCACTACTCAACACTGACTTGTCTCAGACCTGAAGGACTGTTTCACTGCTTTAACACTTTCCTCTTAGGGAAGAGGGGTTGACCTGTCTGCAGCAGAAAGTTAGCCATCAAAACATGAAAGAAAAGAAACAGCATTGAGAAAATCCACAGTAGAAGAGAACTGATGCCTATTTAGAATGATCATCTCATTCCAAGCAGAGACAATTAGGAACAATGGGTAAAATTAGATTAAACGCTTTTCCTTAGGGTTTTACCATGTGCTTTCAGAATGACCTGCCGGTCCTTTCATTACTGGTTTGACAAAGCGGCAAATGCACACTGCTAATGCACTTTGATGCCACGTATCAAATGGGTACCCTGTTAAACTCCTGTTGTGCAACAGAAGAGCAAAAGGCGATCACATCCACAGCAGCTGCCTGGCTGTGGCTGTTAGACATCGTCCTCCTTTTGCATCCAGGAGCTCAAAACAGACTTGAAGGCTCCCAGAAATCCCAAGAGGAAAATAAGGTCTAGACTTTATTAGAGACACAAAACCGCACTGAAGGTCACACTGTGAGACAGTAGGAGAGCCACACAATTCATTACCATTCCCCAAAGATGCAGGGTAATGGGTGCAACCTGGATAGATTAGACAGCAGAAAAGAAAAAAGAAGAAAAAAAAAAGTTATTGTTCTTCTTCCCACCTGGCCCCAGTTCACACAGGTGCAATGGAGCAGCATTCTGCAAGAGCTGTTTGCGAAAGGGCATCTGAGAAGATAAAGTGAAATTCTACCTAAATCAAGAGTCCGGAGTTGTGTATATATGTGAAACAGGGGATTTTAAACTTAGGTTAAAATACTTTTCTTTCTGTAAAGTTTATGTTAACAAATCTGGAGAAGAAAGCCTGCCTGGCTCTATATTCTATCCATTTTCTTAGAAAAATGACAAAGCAAATGGCAAATTTATTAAGAACTCACCATTTTCAGGGAGTGGCAATGAATTGGTGTCAATTGGAGAAAGAAATTTGAATGATACCTGCATCATATGTGTGTGTGCATATATATATATATACACACATGAATACACACACTTTATTAGACATAATTTTGCACATTTATCTGTATTATGCATACATATCGTTTTGCAAGCAGCAATACGATTTCCAGCAAGTCTTCAGTTTGCCTAGCTAAAGAAGTTATTGATGCTTGAAACCATCAATACGGTTTGGCACTATAAAGTGCCAAAACTTAGTAAATTTAGTCTGGAATTCAAGTGACAAATGTAACCCCCTCAACCAAAAATCCAACATTTTTCCTCCTTCTCTAAAAAGAGATTGGAAAGAAAAAAAAAGGCTTAATTCAGCATCTCCAAAACACCAAAAAACCCTCCACCCTATGCCTACTTAAAAAGCATTTTATTCTGATGGAGAGGAAGTAGTTGGTAGCAAACATTATCTACTGTTCTAGGAAGACAGCAGTAAATTACAGCTCTAAATGGGCATTTTGATACTAAAATAGACCTAAATCCAAACCATATGTGGCCTGGTTTGAACATCCCACAGAAACTGGAGGTGGGAAAGCCACAGCAGCCGAGGCGGAAGCCCGTGGGACCATCCTGGCTCATCTCTGGGTCCAGGTCCAGAGGCAGGCAGGACAGAGGATGGGCAGAGAGGCTGACCAAGCAGCTTTGGCAAACCTCTGCTCTTTAAATAGAGGTTCAGAAAGGCCATGGTTTACTGCTGACATCCCCTTCCTGTAATGAAACGAGTAGAAGGAGTTGCTCTGAGAGAAGTTAACCAGGAAAGCCGAGGAGAGATCCCCCTTCTCCCAGTAAAAGGCCATGTGCCAAAGAAGTACGTTCTGATGTTTATGTCTAGCCTTTGATAGAAAACTCTACTCTCTAAAACACTTTGCTACTCTTTCTGGGCCAGACAGTAATCCTCAGGATGATGCACACTGGCCTCTTCCAGCACCAAAGGCAAAGCAAACACAGGCTAACCCCATTCTAGCCGCTGACCGAGCCTGGAAACAGTCCAGGCCTGCCGTACCTCCTGTTCAGCAAAGGCAAAGGCCGTCATCCAGAGAAACCAGCCTGCGAGAGACCCTTCAACTCACGCTAGGCAGACACTGCCTAAACAAATACTTTAAAATGAAGAAAAGGGAGGCTGACCTGGTCTCCAAATCACAGCGCAACACGGAGCAGTACACCTCCACAGAAGAACTGCCGAGATGCCCCTTGGCCCATCCGCCCTGCTCAGAGCTGTGCCCAAGCGCGTACCTTCATCCAAAGGCACTCCTCACCCTGCCCTAAAATCTAAACCGCAGCACTCCGATTACTGACGCGCGGAGGCACGCTGAGAGAAGCAACGATGAGAACCTCTGGAAATGCCATTTATCTTTGGCTGTAAAAATAGGGCAGTATTTTATACTACATAAATAATTGGGTTTTATTTATAGAGATAGGTAATCAGAACACAAGCAACACCCCCCCAGGCCTACAGCACAGCTGAGCAGCAGTCTATGCCTGTTTCAAGCCTAAAGGAAGACTTTGACTCTACAGCAAAACACTAAAGCAGCTCCTCCACAGCAGCTCACGGCCATTTAAAAAGAACTAACGTTTTGAAAGAAAAAAGAAATATGCAGAGCATTTTTTTTTGCATGAGTGTCAGGACTTTGCATAAACTGGAGGAGAGTTTTTCTCAGCAAAGACCTAAAGAGATTGTGATCGCAATAGCTGAGGCCCTTTAAATTGCCTACTGGCTCTCAGACAGAAATGCCACCAAGCCTCTGTCTACCATCTTCATTTTTGAGACGTGCTATGGAGGAAAAACCCCACTATTAGGATTAGATTCCACAAAGTCCCAAGCACTCAGCATGTCTCCATGTTACACGCTCGCCTGCTGCGCTGATGCTCATTCATTATTGCTGTTACAAGGCAGTTTTAATGCTACGTTGGGGTTCTGGTAATTTTGAAGCCAATTTGCAAAGATGGCTGATAAAATCTGTTTCATAATTAGCATGCTCCAGAAGAAACATCCCTCCCTTCCCCAAGCACAATCTGAGCATGTGCCTGGGAGGAGATTTGGAGAGTTGTGCTCAGGAGAATAAGGCCTGTTTTGTACAAATTTGCATTTGGAACAAATATCAGCCTTCTAAAATCTCAGGCAGTGCAGTACATTCTGCAGTGCTGACAGTTTCTCAAACCTAGCGCTCAGCACCTTTTCCTGCAGACCATTCGAGGAGCTGCACACCGACTGTTACACTGGCAGGAACAGTAGATGCAATGGAAGCACAAAGCTATGAAGAGCCAACAATTAAATTCAAAGATCATAAGCAAACATCCTCATTCTGCCAAGGAAATTAAACTTGCAAAACCTTTGAAGATGCTTACCAACTTGCCCAATAGGGTTCTTTAGTCACAAGATCTGTAAATCTTGGGAGAGCTATGATAAATCATTTGGGATGCAGTTTCCAAAAAGCCTCACTTCTGGCGTAATGAAATCAGTGGGCACAGTACTGAGAGCTTTTTATCCATGAAAACAGGATAGTATTTATGTATACGATGAAAGTGTTGTTAAGCTTACACTAATAATGCTTTTAAACTCCTTACCAGCCTCAGGCAAGAACAGACACGCTTCTGATTACACCAAATAAATAGTAATCAGTAGAAATTAATTTGCCAAACATTTAAAGCGCATCTCGCTAAAGCATATCCACACCTTTCTCTGGTTAAGACTTCTTATAAAGCTGTCAAACATGGTTATAGCCCTGGCTCTCACCCATTGTCTGACTAAACATCCTCTCAAACCCCTTGTGTAATGCGAATGCACTTCAGACCATCTGTTTACAGGCTTGCATTGATCTAAGTGGATGTTTACATTTATTTGTATAGCACTTTTACAGCTCTACTCATGTTGATAATGCATTAAGCCGGGCATTATATATGACACTCGGTTCATTTTTCTAAACAGACAAGAGAACAGATAGCTTAAGACTTGGCATCAATTACCAAAATCCAATTTTTATCATGGTTTTAGTTTCTTTCCCCTGTTTTGGAAATTGGAACTAAGAAACTATTTCCAATTATTTCCAATCATTTCTTACAGAGTTCTTTTGCACTAAAGCAACATAAATAACTGCAAATGCATCCCCACAAAACGCAAGTGACTATAGGATGCTGATAAGACAGATGGCAAACCCTATAAAAGCTATTAAAAAGCTACAGGATACTGAAGTCACATTGAAATTAACACAAAAATCTCAGTAATTAAAATGGGACAATGATGGCATCCTTAGTACACTCGATATAACAAAGTAGTTGGTTGAAAAATGTCTTTTGGGGTTAGCTTGAGACAAGGTAGGTCAAGTTTCAGCTTTCTCTCTGGCACGGATTTTCTGGAGGACCTTGAACAGGGACCTTCGCTCCAGCTGTGCTATGCTGGCAGCAGAGATGACGACCTCAGCTGCTCCTTGAGAGTCACTGCTGGTGGATTGCAGATGTGCCCCATGGCCAAGCCCTTACCTGTTTCACCCAGTGCTAGTGAGGATGTAAAAGATCTGCTATTTAAGCCCACCAGGTAATTCTGAGCAGAGAGAGTTGGGAGCGCGCCTGGGAACATCCCAGCCAAAGGCAGGATGCGACAGGAAGCTCTGGCAGGAGGCAGCAATGAGCCACTACAAATATTGTGCTACAATTCCTTCCTCAACACAGCTGGCTGTAGACTGCACATCTGTCTAAGTGTTGAGATGCTACTTAATGAACGGCCTCAGCAGCCACGAGGTCGGCACAAACTGCCAAACCCATGTAAGTACAGAGTAACCGCCTGTTCAGCCCATACGGAGCTCTTATCACACTAAAGCTAAACTGGTAGGAGGAACGAACCTCGGTAACTAAAAGCTATCTAATGCTACTGAAGTCCACTGATAACCTTTGTTTCTCTGTGCTTTATTCACATCTGAGAGAAGGGGAACTCACCACCCCACCTCCCAAACCGTTCCCTGCACAAATGAGTTAAAGATCGAAAGTTCATCAAGCAACGCAGTTATGGCAACTAGAGAGCTACCTTAAAATATAAACACAACCTTGAACTTAAATCATAAACAGAACTTAAGTAGAAGCTTGAAGTTCTTGGCTGAATCAATATATCATCACCACTATCTTTACAACTAGGAATACTGAGCCAGATTGTTTGCTCGTTGATGTTTGCATAAGCAACAAATACAAGTCAAGGGAGTTTTTTATTGATGTCAGACCGATTATATTTTTAGTTCTGTCAACAAGCTGCCAAAAGACCTCAGGCAAGTCCTGTAACGGTTCTGTGCCCTAGTTTCTTTCTTTTTCATACAATAAGCAACAAGTAACCTCCCTCACAATGGGACTCCAACATACAGTATGTTTGATAGGCTCTGTACGTCTCTGATGGAAGCAGATACAAAACATGCAAGGCTCTCTAACAAACATCCAGACTATTTCACATGAAAACCTAGCTGCTGAGGTCAGCTTGCTGATTTGAAAGACTTAAAAACTTCTATGGTGGAGAAAGAATGGAAAATGAAGGACACGAGGTGAAAAGTCCCTGACCGTTTCCTCTTGGACAAGGTGGACATAGTCCAAAAAATTCTTTATACTTTCTTTTCCTCTCTCCTCTCCCAGAGGTGGTTTTCTATTGTGTATGTGTTGAATGGTAGGTTTGCTGGAGTTAAGCCAAAGAGAGAGGTAGATGGCTGCCTTTGTGGTCAGAGGAGGGAGGGAGGGAAGGATTTCCTATTGCAGAACAAAGCGGAGTTATTGATAACAAAATCCACTAATGTGCTGACTATTAGGAAACGCTGGCTGATATCTTTGCACATGGGGTTTTGTGCAAATACTTAAAATTTGGGGAAACTATTTGAATTCAATAATGGTGTCCTTTCTGAACATCTCCTCTCCCTGCTGCTCAGAACAAAGGACAAGAAGAATCTTTTTTTCTTTCTCTATCTCACTTTCCTTTTCAGCAAGGGGGG